ACCCCTTACCCCCACCCCTACCCCTACCCCCACCCCTACCCCCACCCCTACCCCCACCCCTACCCCCACCCCTACCCCCACCCCCACCCCCACCCCTGCGAGGTGCCTCTCTACAACGTCTACGGCGTCACTGAGTGCACAGTCTACCAGGCCTCCCGCCGCGTCGCACCGCCGCCTCTCGCGCCAGGCGGCAGCGCCGACCTGAGCGCTGCGGCGGCCGAGGCGCGGCTGAGTCTTGGCCAATCTCATCTCGGGCAACCTCATCTCGGGTGATCTCGGTTCGATCTCTCATCTCGGGCAATCTCATCAACCTCCTCTCGACCTCGGACAGGCGCGGCTGCTCGGCACACCGCTCTCGGGGTGCGGGCTCGAGGTCTTCTTCTACTACTACTACTACTACAGTCCTACTACTACTACCAGTACTGTTAGGTGCGGGCTCGAGGTCGTCTTCTACTACTACTACTACTACAGTCCTACTACTACTACCACTACTCTTAGGTGCGGGCTCGAGGTCGTCTTCTACTACTACTACTACTACAGTCCTACTACTACTACCACTACTGTTAGGTGCGGGCTCGAGGTCGTCGACGCGTCGTCGCGGCGCACGGAGTACCCGAGAGCACCCGAGATACCCCGATAGTACCCGAGATCACCCGAGGTTACCCGAGATCGGCGTCGCGGCGCACGCTCGCTCGTCAACGAAGCAAAGGCCGCTCTCTCTTGCAGTGTACATCGCTGACCGCGGCCTGCTGCGCTACCCCGACAGGCCGGTCGCTCCTCCTGGGGAGGGGCAGCTTGCAATCACTGGCCGTCAGCTCGCGCGCGGGTACTTGCACCTGCCACACCGCACCGCCTCCGCCTTTGTTCTCCTCGCGGACGGAAGGCGCTCTCACCCCGCTGTGTCGATGGATGCCAAGAAAGAAGGGAGTGGCACTACTTTCTCTTGCTTCACATCCTAGCATCCAGATCATGGATACTACACGCGTACAGCGGAGGTGTAGCCGAGGTGTAGCTGAGGTGTAGCCGAGATACAGCGGAGGTGTAGCCGAGGTCTGAGTGGCTCCCGGCAGGCGCGCCTACTTGACTGGCGACCGGGTGAGGCGCGAGGAGGGGGGCGGGCTCGTGTTTCTGGGCCGCGTCGACCGGCAGGTCCGCCTCTCCGGACACTTCCTGGACACTTCCTGGACACTTCCTGGACACTTCCTGGACACTTCCTGGACACT